GTGGGGGGGGGGGGGGTGATCAGCTGGTTCACAGACATCGGCTCCTGCATGCGTGTTAACTCGTTCACTTGCTCTCAGGAGTTTGCCTTTCCCCTCCCTGAAGAGACGGGAGAGGCAAAGCTTTCTGTTTTAAGTGGCACAGAAGAGTCTGGGTCTTTGGGACAGGCAGACAACCAGATGTTTGTGTTCCCAAGAAAGAGGAGATTTCACAGATGTAAGGAAATGATGGTCCTAAAATAAGGCTCATGGTGAATTCTGACCTCACTGCAATATCCTAGATTTCTGAAATGATGTCTTCCAGTGAAGCTTGTTTAAATAAAATGACAGCATCCTTAAAACTAGAAGCTATCCAGATATATTCATCCTCTAAAACATGTTTGTTATATCTACCCAGATAATTTACAAACTGAGAAGTTAGCTATTAATCCTTTAATGTGTGACCAACCTTACACAGGATCCATTGTTCACTGAACAAATCAAGACAGACAGCAAATAAATCAATAAAGAGAACCCAGTTGCAACATTAATGATGTGCATACCCATCAGACTAACAGAGAAGTCATTTGGAAAATGCTCCCACTGTTCACACACACTCTCACACACATGCCTCTGAGGCTGTTTGTGGATGGCTTATGTAACTAAGCCCAAGCTTTCACATTTATACATCTGGCTCACACAGTAAAACATGCAGACACAGATGCATGGCCAGATGTTCTTTGAAATAACATAGACCATAACTAATCTAGTTACAGGAGGATGGTTCAGCCCCTGTGAAAAACAATTTTAAGAAAAAGGCAGCAGCATGGAAGCCTTTCTTTTCATTTGTACATTGAGGTACTTGTTCTGCTGTCTACTGCTCATGTGTGAAACACACAAAGGGAAGGACAGAAGCTCTGACAGTGATGACACTGAGCTGGTCCACAGAGACATGCAGGCAGATAGATGAGAAAATCCATAATGTCACACACTGATGAACCCAGAGAAAGACGCTCTGTTCAATTTGAGCTGGACAAACAAATGGAGCAAATTATAGGGCTGGCAGGTGGAAAGCAACGTTAATTAAAATGGGGGAGAGAGAAACAAACATGAGAATGATGATCAAAAAGGAAAGAAAGTGAGTTTTGGTCAAGACTGAAATCTTAAACAATTGCTGGAGTGTCTTTAACATTGCTGACATTATCTCCTTTTCCTGTCTGTCAGTCAAGGCAGCTGAGAGGACAAACCTGTGTTTCTTTCAGGGGACAAAATCTACCGAACTCAGCAAAGCCCCTCAGATGGCACACTCGGTCCCAGTAATGGACATCTTGTGTTGCACAAAACGTTTACACTGCCACACCTTAAAGCTGTAAACGCACTTCTGAGCACACACAAGCACACAGGAAATAGGTGTCTTTAGAGCGGGACTGTTTCAGACTGACTAACCACAGACCAACAAGCAGAAGCAAAAAAAAAAAAAAAAAAAAATCAGCTCTTATGTAATACACCGAACCCACAAATAGCACACAGAGCAAGAGTGGCAAAACCCACACACGCTGCACATAATCCCATATGTGATTCTACAGTTGGCATCCCAGTAGAGACTAGTATGGAAGATATATAAACACATTACACCACACACTTATTATGTGCATTTAATGTCAGCCATCAGTTACATGTGGACTGATGGCAGCATGTGTAGTTTTGAGCTAATAACTCAGCAAGGAAACATATATCGGTGAGCCTCAACAGAAGTAATGTGATATTGGAGGAGATTATGTATGTGAGCACAATGAGGGGGAATTAGAGAAGCTTCTCAACTATCACTGACTGTTTGTCTCTGATTACAATGTCCTGCACAATAACAGCCGGCCTGACCATCAGGTCGACATTACCCCTGAACACTCTGGCCCACAATGAGGTATCTTAGAAATATAAGGGTGGACTTGAATTAAATTTGTTGTGGTTATTTTTAGACATGGCTCTGGGGAGCCAATGATGGTCTGTCTGTCCACTACTGATCCAGACTGAAACATAGACTGGGTGGATCCTGACAGGAGCCATTTTGAGTCAAATAAAAGTGTCATCAGAATGTTGTCTGTCCAACACTTTCATACTATGAAGTGCAATTGCTATTAAAAAAAAAGAGTCTGGTCTCAATCAGCATTTAAGCTAATGTCAAACAGAAAACTTGCAATGCAAAAAAACCTCAGCCTCAGTATTTACAGTTGCTCCTTGTCATATGTCTAGACTCAAATGACTTTAAAGATATCATATTCCAGTCACACAGGTTTTTGTAGTAAAGCTATGTGTGCAATGTGCATCTTAATTCCTTTCTATCTCAAGATAAGCCACATATGCTTTGTTTCAAAACAAAGTCCATAGAAAACCACAGATACGAGCCATACACTGTCAAACAACAAATCCCCAATAGGCACAGAAGTTCTCTTCAAAAAACTTGTCCCCTGAACACATAATACAAAGACAGGAATAAATTCCTCAAGACAAACATTTTGATAATACACTTGTCTTGAGGGATTTATTCCCATTTTTGTATTAACTGATGAATGCTTTTTGATTTTTCTCGGCAACACCTTTATATGAAAGAGTATTAGGACCGCTGTACAAAATTTACTCTGAGTTACGACTTAAAACTTAGAAATGTGCTATTTTTTCTCAGAATACCGACTGTAAAATCTGAATTCTGAGTTTAAAGTCGGAATTCTGAGATTAAAAACTGAATTTTGAGAAAAACGTCAGACCTGAGACAAATTTTGTACAGTGGCCCTAATTCTCTTCTGTACCTTTATGATGAATGAATTATTTTAGCACTCATATGTCAGTACTAGAATAACAAACAACCTAATGTAAATTACTTGATAATCTGTTTTATTACATTTCATTAACATTCTTCTGCTTATCTTAAACAAACTGTGGTTTCTGCATCCGCAAATCCATTACTTCCTATGCAGCAGAGGATATCTTCTATATGAACGCCTATGTCAGTAAAGGTAAAACTAGTTGCAGTGAATAATGTCTGGGCTCAGTGGAGAGCAGTACAACAGATATTTTAAAAGGAAGGAGGAAGTTATGGATAATGAGTATCTGATGTTCACTGGTTAATATTGCTGGTTCATGTTTGTTGGCTTATTCTGCGATATGGCTCCATCTAGTGGTCATTATTGGATTCTCACCCAGATTCCTCATAAAAAAGATGAAATATTAAAACACCTGTCAGGATGAAAGAACACAACAGACACAGGAAGCTGAGGACGGGAGCTAAGGGAGGAACAAGTGTGTGAGAGAGAGAAAGTGAGGGAGATACAGAACAGGTCTGGGAGCTTAAACAGAGTTGACATTATCTCAGGTCTCACCATGAGAACCGTCTGGGAATGGGTCATAAGTGTATTACACTATGTAAAGATAGTAAGCATACGGACACACAGGTAGAAAAGAAGGTCGTTCTTTGTTGATTTTTCATACTGCTATGCATCTTAGTTGTATCCAGGTCACAGCAACTGACAAAAATAAACCACACAGACAGACAGAGATGCTCCAGGGTCTTTGATGTGCTTCTGAGGGAAACAACTGCATATATAGTTTTCACGTTTCTTCATCTTTTATACAAGAGTAAATTAGCTGCAATCAGAGTACAAAACCAACATGGAGTGAAGAGAGTGAGACTTACTGTGCTACAGTACACTAGAATAACATAACTGACACTGGCATGATTAAACATTAAAGAAAGAACGAGGCAACGGGAGAAAGTGAGGAGGAGTTTATCCGGGAGGAGTCATGTACAGACATTGAGAGAGCTATTGTCTGTGACTACAACAGGGACACAAGGGCACACAATTCTCTGAACGTAGTGCATGTTCCGTGTATGTACACACACGCATCCACGGAGCAGGGAAATGCCACACCCCACACTGTTCTAATTCATGGTGCTTCCATTAATATTCTTTGCCTTTTAAATCCAGTTCTTCAGGATTTTATTCCTAACTGCCATATTGCATTATAACTCAAAAACAGATGTCTACATCAATGATAGAAATATTGTGCAATAAAAGTGAAGTTTTTTATTCATTAAGTATTATTTTGCAGAGAGTTTCACTTTCATGAAGGCAAGCCTTGTCCCTGTAGAATTATACACAATTAAAATGTACATCCTCAAACTTTATGCCTCTCTGTGCATTCACAGTGTGTGTCTGTCTTAAGATAAAAGCTTCTCAGCCCACACTGGCCTAAATTCATATCACTGAGGCAAGACATGAGCTCCAAATGCAGGCCAGGCTCTTTCCAAACAAAGGACTGTTTTGGAAGTTCAGTGGTTTTTGAGAACAGGAAATCCACTGTACCTCCAAGACTGCTTCAGTTAAGACATAAAACAGATTATTAAGCCAGCTAAAATTAGACCAGAAGCTGAAAGATGCGATCCCACAGCACTGGTTGACTTCCCAGTTTTCCCACTTGGATGACCCCAACCCCCATCTGCCCTAAGCCTACAGTATATGACATCCAAATGACAATAAGCATGGCTTGAACATGGGTCTGCCTCAGATCCTCCCTACAGTTTTGCTGTTCTGTCGCTGTGCCTCCTTTCCATCTCCAGCACGCCATCTGCAACAGTACAGCTTGTATAGTTAAAATACCACTGTAGAATTAGGGTCACAGATGTATAATTAATAACCAGCAGCTGCACTCTCTCTCTTCTGCTGTTACAACTATAAAAACTGCTGCTAAAATGTT